CACCTTGTCCTGAACCAAGTTTAACCTTAGGAACATCGAAGCATAAAGACCCTAACGTTATTACCATTCTACTTCAAGAAGAAGGAGTCACTGCACTTCAGGTATTTAAAGATGGCAAATGGATTAGTGTTGAGCCAATTCCCTATGCCTTTGTGGTAAACATTGGGTTAGTGTTACAGGTATTGATTCTGAAAGTTAGCTTCATAAACTAATATAAAATATCAATGGGGTCCAAATTAATTAATTTAATTCAATTTGATTACTAATCGCTAGCTTTTTATGGTGAGATTTTGCATGACAAAGTTCAACAATTTTATGATTAATATATGTATAGATCATTAGCAATGGAAGAATCGTTGCTGCTCAACATCGGGTTATCACAAATTCAAATAGTGGGAGACACAGCGTTGCCTATTTCATTAACCCAACAAAGGAATCCCTCATAGAACCTGCAAAGCCTCTGATAACTCCAACTGCTCCTCCCACGTTCCGATCCATCACATTTGGAGAGTTGCTGGGAAATATTCTAATCAAAAGTTCACAATTTGAAGAAGAATTGCGTTTAACCTCTATAAAACAATAGAAAATAAATGAACCCTGGCTTGCCGACTGATTTTCATGCGACTATACAAGTATATATTTCACTTTAAAGAATGAAGTTTATGCAATTTCAAGGCTTATGAATTAATGTAGTGAATCCATAATCCACTTTACTACTGGCTTGTGGCCAAACATTTCATGCTATCTTACTCTTAAGATTGAGGAATTCCTTCAGAAGGGTTAAGTCAAAATTCTCTGTCTATTTATTAAATGAGAAAATTAATAAAAACTAATAACTAATATCATCTTAAAACTTTATATAAACAGATAAATAAAAATATTTTTTAAATGGATAAATAAAAACAGAAATAGTATTATTATTTTTGCCAGAGGATAAGATATTTAGTAAATACATGTAAAAATTGGCATGTCATTAAAACTTATGCACATTATGATCTCCATAAATACAAAAGAATAATTTATTTTATTTCATCTTAAGCCAAACTGGATGACAACCTTTAAAACTTATGTTGTTGCGGGAAAATTCAAAAATGTTTTTATATTTAAAAATTGTAGTTACAAGAAAAATTAAACTATATAAAACTTAAATGTTTAGGTTAAGTATGAGTAAAAATATGGCATGTTAAATAAAAATAAAAAGTAAACAATATATTTATTACAACTTAATGAAAATTAAATGCAATATTTAGTTCTGTCTGTATAATTTATCTGTGGTTCATTAATGATGATTTTTTTCAGTATTTTAGCTCTCATCTTAAAAGTGTTAAATATGTTTTTGAAACTTTTGAAATAAATATATGTCCTTATCGATAACGTGCTAAGAAACTATAAGGATTAATTGAATACAATACGTTTTCTTTTCATAAAAATTATATTAGATATAGATATATATATAATGTGAAATTATATTTTTTTCTCTTTGTTTAAAATCAATACAAATATTTTTATTATTATTATAGTCATATTTCCTCTTTCTTTATTTAATAAATAAAAATGTAAACAATTAAAAACCATTGAATTTAGCCTTTTTTTTTATTGGAGTAATAAATTCTTTTATTACACCTTTTTAACTATTCCAGTTTAAATATAATAAAACTATGATTTGTTTTATAATAAATTGACGATAAATCAGAAAATATTACATCATTAATAAATAAACACATAAATTAATAAAGATTAAAAAATAAATCATTAATTTAATGTTATTAAATTTAAAAAATTTCTTTATTTTATTTTATTATCTTCACTATACTATTTTTTTTTCACATTTCCATATTCACTGTTCCATGCGAGTCATAAGTGAAGATAGATGGCTCCCTGTGGGATTCTAATTGTTCATTGAACACTCCATAGTTTATCTGTACATGATTCTCCCTCTTATGCGTTTGGAGCCTAAGCCACTAAAGGAAAAAGGTTGATCTTCAATGAACAACCAAAAAGGAAGATATATGTGAAACAAATCAAAGAAGGAAATAAAATTAGGATTTTCTAATTCATTACGGATATATTATAAAAATTATTGATGCTCTATTTTTTTTTAACATGAGAAAATTAAGCAACTAAAGAAAAATTACTCTCTAAAGTAATTCTTTTACATATTTTTTTATAATTTTTAAAAAATATTTAATAAAGTAAGCATTAAATGGAAAAATTTATTAACTTTAACTTTAAAAGTAAATTTTAAAATATAAAAATGATAAATTTTATTTAAAAGCTAAAATGTAAACTATATTGTAAAAATAAAAGGGTGATAATTTTTTAAATAAAAATATTGTTTTTAAATACTTAAACTCAACTTTAAAATCAACAGAAACATTAAATAAGAAGTACAACTATTTATTATATTAAAAATACAAAGAATATTTAGAATGGTAAATTTTTTAATGTGTTTTGGAACACAATAAATGAAAAAATGCTCGTGAATTGGATTGGATGAATCTTAAAAGACAATTCATCCACTGAAAAGAAAAGACACCCTACGCTTCAGTTTTGATTGAGTTAAATGGCATATTAAATGAAATCTTATCCAATTAATTAGATTAAATGCAATTGATAATGGATTAGATAATTTAATTGTTAAATATATACTTCTAAAACAAGATAATTCATATTAAAAAAAGTCTAACAATAAATATTATTTTATGTATTATAATAACAATAAACATGAATTTTCTTATATTAATATCTGAATAAATTTAACTTTTTTTCTCTCTTTTTTAATATAGATAGAAGGTATTATTTATATTATTTTCTAATTTTATTATTACCCAATCATAAACTACTATATCAATAAAATTATTAAATTTTATAATGATTAATTAAAAGTTATATCTACCGCATAGATAAAGTCTTATTTATTGTCTCTCGTGTGCATTTAGTTCATAAGTTAATTATGGATTTACATTAATTACTTATCGTATTGGGCTTTGTGTGAGTAATGCACAATGAATTGTGCAGTTAATGTTATGCCATTGAGAAGTATATAATGAGTTTCTCTTTTGGTTGAAATACAAATGCTTAATTCTTGGGTTAGATACAGAGTAGTTTCCCTCACTTCTCTCTTGTTGAGCCCATCTTGTCAGGTACATTTACATACATGCTTTCTCATATTTCACATATTTTTATATGTACTGTGACACATGATTTAGATTCCTAATTTGATTGCTTCGTTAAATATAAATAATTTGTTTTAAATATGATAATTTCAAAATAAAAAACTTAATATTTTTCTTAAACTATATATTTAATAAATAAGATATGAAATTGTAAACAAATTTTGTGCATGATAAAAGTAAAAAGAAAATTCAAATTTATTTATAAAAATAATTTAAAGATTATGCTATAAAATTTCTTGTTAAAATATAATAAGATCAATAGTTATATTTTTTTTAATTTTATATATAATAAAACTCCAATATTTTATGTTAAAACTTTATATTTATTTTTAAATATTTTTTATTATTAATGTGCTTTTATCGAATATTTAATTACTTTTTATTAAATTTAAAATAGTTAATTTGACACAATTTATATTATATTATATATATGTATTAATTTTTAAAATTTATGGTAGTACTTTCGACTTTATTTATAAGAAATAAAAGTTTAATTTATCAAATTTAATAAAAAATAGTTATATATTATAAATTTATTTTATTTAAAAACAATTATAGTATTAATTGATATTTATGTATTAATTGAATGAATATTTTTATTTATAACAAAAAAATGACTATTTTAGTAATAAAAAATGATTATAATTAATTTTTTATAAATACAATTAATAACATAATTAAATGAAAATTAATAAGTTAACTATTTTCTCCATGTTCATTTAGATGAATATGTTCTTTTTTTTTTTTAAGTCATCGATCTCTCTTTTTCTTTTAATGAGTAGAGGTGTAAATTGCCGAAAAATAGTACTAACCTTTTTTTATTATTAATTAAAATTTATTAAAAATTATAAAAAATATGTAAATCCTACTTTTTTTTATTCATTAGTTAATATTTTTCTTTCATATTGTTTAGTTTTTAATAAATTTTGGTTAATAGTGAAAATATATTAAAGAAAGTGTATTTCTAATATTCTTTTCTATTAAATACATATTAATATAGTGTTTTTTAGAAGTATATATGTAAAATCTTGAAAAATATTAAGACATTAAATTCATTCATATTCCTTTTCAGTTGCTTTTTCGTTGCATTATTTCATAATTTTTAAGAAAAATTATGAGCTTCTAAGAAAATAAATCGTTGAATTGATTTCTTTTAAAATCAATTTATGAGTTTTTTTGTTGGAATCTAAGTCTACTATATAACTAAAAATGTCACACGATATATTTTTTTAATTTTAAACTTTTTACATTATTTTACTTAAAATATCACGTGTCATTTTTTCTTATTTTTTATTTATATAATATTTTAATTTATTATTCCATTTATTTATTTTATTTTGATATTTTTTAACTTTTTTATTCTTAATAATTTAAAAGAGAAGTTCATATTTTTAATGTAAATAGCTGAAAAAATAAAATCTTTAAACTAAGAGAGTAGGTATTTTAGGAAATACCTTTAAGGATTATATATATAAAATATTAAGTGAATTAATTTAATCAGAATTCTTTTTAAAATGGGAATTATAAAATAATTAAAGGATAAAATCCATATTTGCGCGGTTAAGATTCGTAGTCACCAATGAATACTTGGCGTTGTACATATATGTTAATATATATTATTACTGCATTTAAATTACAATATGATAATCCTTAGTAGTTTTAAGAGTTAGTGTCATCATGTTATATGATTGTCTTTTATAGACAAAATCTGTAGTTTTAGATAAAATTAAAAGAAATTAATATGATATACAGTATCACTTTCTAACGTTTATGAATCAGTGAGCACTACTAACAATTCAATCTCCAAGGTAGTTAAGCATTGAGAACATGGAAACCAAACTTGTGTCTAGCTGGTACAATCTTCTATCTTCTGTGCCAACATCTTATGTGCAACCACCAGAAAGAAGACCTGGAAATGCTGTTCTGGCCACTGGCTTGAAAATTCCAGTGATTGATCTTGAAGGACAAGATCGTGATGGTATCATAAGGAATATTATAAAGTCCTCCGAGGAGTATGGATTTTTCCAGGTACAAATTATTCACAATTCTTTCATTTCTAATTGGCCCCTGCATGATTGGGAAATGATGAGTAAGCATGCAATAGTTTATCTTGTGAATTTATTAAGCTGACTATATGAGGTGATTTAGGTTATCAACCATGGAGTTCCGAAGGAGGTTGTGGAAGATGCACTGAGGATTTTCAAAGAATTCCATGCGATGCCTTGCAATGAAAAGATAAGAGAAAGCTCTAAAGACCCAAATGGAAGCTGCAAGCTGTATACAAGTAGCGGGAGGAATGGTGAAGACGTGGCTCGGTATTGGAAAGACTCCTTACAACACCCATGTCCACCTTCTGGTGAATACGTGCACTTTTGGCCTGAGAAACCAGCGGGATATCGGTAAATTCTTTTCTCTGTAGTTTTTTAATTGAATAAGAACATTGCTTGGATTAAGACTTTCTTTGGATTTGATATGTAGTGCTATTGTATTTGTGTTAATTAATGGTACAAGTTGGTATACGAATCTTGTGTAGTTTTAGAGCGAATTGCAGAACTTGCAGCACTAGAGTTTTGCTATATATTCTTACTATTTTTTAAGTTGTTTCTTTATATACTTTTTAGGCCTATAGTCCACATTGGGCCCCAATGACAAGCCCAAAATTTTGAATAGGTAAAATCTTGGAAAATCATGTCAGACATAGCCCAAGTTGGTTTATGAAGAAAAGAAAATTATGCATAGGTCAATCAACAAATTTATGTGTTTTCGTTATGTTCTTTTTATTATTTACCTATTTGAAAATAATATTTCAAGGGGACATATTTTCGTTGTTTAATTAATCATAAATAATTAACATTTTGGTTTTTTTCAGGGAAGCTATTGGAAAATATACCCAAGAAATAAGAACCTTAGGGCTCAAAATTTTGGGTTTAATTTCTGAAGGATTAGGACTCGACCCAAAGTATTTCCATGGAGACCTTACTGCAAATTCAGTAGTGATATCTCATCACTACCCTCCTTGTCCTGAACCAAAATTGACATTGGGAACATCGAGGCACAAAGATCCTAACATTCTTACCATTCTTCTTCAACAAGCAGAAATCGCTGGACTTCAAGTCTTCAAAGACGGGGCATGGATTCCTGTTGACCCAATTCCCAATGCCTTTGTAGTTAACATGGGGTTTATGCTCCAGGTAAATCGACCTTCCTCTGACTCTCGATTTATCAATTCTAGTGTTTTACATTCAATAATGGGGCACAATATGAATTCTTGGACATGTGAGTGTATATTTTTCTAATGGTTTATATTGTGTCACGTTATTCACTGTAATCATGTTCGTTGCCGCAAATTTAGTGTTTTTCCTTTTTACATTCCTTCTTCCGTTACACATTTGATAGAATTAAACACAATCTATATCAGTTTAACTGGTAGGTACCAAATAGATATGATATGAATTCTCTCGATTTTTTGTTAAAGAAAATAAAACGTAGTTTAGAATATAAACTTCGGTGGAGATTTTCCAATTTTATTTTATTTTTTAAAAAACTGAAGTTATGTTTTCTCTTATATATAAATATTAACATTTGATTTTTTTTTTTGGTTGGAATGTACAACTTTGTATGACTGATGTAGATCATTAGCAATGGAAGACTCATTGGTGCTGAACACCGAGTTGTAACAAATCCAAGCACTGCGAGGCACACTATCGCCTATTTTATTAACCCAACAAACGAAACTCTTATCGAACCTGCGAAGCCTGTGTTAAGTGCAACTTCCCCACCCAAATATGTATCAATGACATTTGGAGAATTGCATGGACAGTTTCTGAACAAAGGTCCTTATTTTGAGTCAGAATTTCGCATACAACCTTCCCAAAATGTAAAAAAATAAAATGTTCCATAGAAATGGCTCAAACTTTGCAACCAAGCGTATGAATAAATTATTTTGTGATTTTATTTTATGAAGGCCAAGGGTTTGTGGCTAAATTGTTATGTGGAATTTCTGTTAAAATAAGGATTTTCTTGAGGCCTTTGAGTTAAAAATTTGTTCTCCTTTTTTTATTCTAGCCACTTTGTGTTTCATGACCTTAGGGCAGATAATGAATGTGAAAGCAAAATAAGAATTGAAATTGTGTTAACGAAAAATTATCTAACACTTTTCATTAAATTAATCATATAAAAAATATAATATATTCGGGGAATGCAAATGCTGGAGATGCTAATGTGAATGCTAAAGCAAGAATGTGCTTTCGAACAAAAGTGTTGTGGCTGCATGTGATGTCACATAAAAAAATATTATACAAATATTCAGTAGGATCAAGCAAAATATTCGTAGCCCTGAGAACCAAACGTAATTAAGGGTGAAGAAGCAAATAGTTTTCAATTTAACAAAGGTAGGGAGAGAGATTGAGTACTTCAAGAAATAAACTAGCCGAACCTATTACAAAGCAATTAAAACTTAAAAATCACATATTTAGTTTTTGAAGTCTCACCTTTAAATCTTTTATTAAACCTTTAATAAATAAAATGAACTTTTAACCTTTCAATTAAGATTAAATGACACTCCTTTTCTGAAGTTTTTAAAATTGTATTCTCTCCCTCTCTCTCTCAATTTTACTTGCGTTATATATATTTTGAACCTGATTCATACTTGGAAATGGAGGCAGATGTACTTGCTACCAAGAACTAATCACTAGTAATAAATACTTTTTCTTAACTGATTAACTTTCAACCATAGGTTTCGGTCCATATATATAATATATAATGGTTATATATCCTTTAGTGTTTATAATACATTACAAGACTTTTTCCTTTAAGTTTGCTCCAAACATGGGATAATAATTCATATGGTGACAAACATGTTTAATTCTATAGATAATTCACAAAAGGAGCATTCAAAAACAAACAAGAAAAGCTTGTATGAATTATATTGAAAGCGGTAATGCCTCTAGAAAGTGCTTTCTCTGTATGAAGTTATAAGCGCAATTTTGGTTCAATGTCAGGGCCCTTGGTCATGAAAATTCCCAAGAACTCTTCAAAGGTAATGGACCTGTAGATGGGGCGAGCACCTAAAATTGTCAAAGGCTTTGCAGGTTCTATAATCTGTTCGTTTGTTGGACGAATGAAATATGCAACAGTGGTCCTCGCAGTGCCTGAATTTGTGACCACACGGTGTTCAGCACCGATGAGCCTTCCATTGCTAATGATCTGCACATAGATCAGTCACCGAAATTAAGCAGAATTTTATCATGCAAGACCTCATCAAATCATGATAAGCATTAACTAGGAACAAATCAACTATTCCTATTAATTTTTTATATCCTTCTTGTCTCTCCAATTAAAAAGTAGCATGCAAGTAATAAAAAAATTATCAATTAAGAGAGAATATTGCTTTTTAACCACTTGTTATTTTATAGTTCTAGAAATAAAGGAGGAAATGAAATGCAGTTAGAAAAAGTCATATATGTGTGTGAAAGTGATGTGTTAGAAAAAGTGTACAAATATTGTGTCAATGTACTACTTATAAAAAAGGTAAATTTATATTATGCTTTAAAATATTTATAATAATAAATAGTCAAATTAGTAACTGAATAATATATATATACACATACACACGTATGTCTGTCTGTCAATATAAAAATGTATACCTGCAAAAGAAGCCCAATGTTAACCACGAAAGCATAGGGAATTGGCTCAACAACAATCCAATCCCCATCCTTGAAGACTTGAAGTGCATTTATATCTTTTTCTTGAAGCAGAATGGTAACAAGGTCAGGATCCCGGTGCTTGGGTGTTCCTAAGGTTAAACTTGGTTCTGGGCAAGGCGGGTAGTGATGAGCTAGCAATAGTGGACTATCACTAAATCCACCAGAGCTATATTCTGGATCGAGTCCTAACCCTTCACATAAAAGCTCCAAAATTTTGTTTCCCAATGTTCTAAGCTCTTGTGTGTATTTCGCAACAACTTCACTGAAAGGTGTCATCATAAGTGATTTTTAGTCAATTAAACTGATAGCCTTTGTTGTGGACACAATTTATCATTGAACTTTTAATATCATGAAAGATGAGATGGTTTAGAAGAAGATATATAATAATAATCTTTCTTTTGTTAGGATTTATCTCAGTGATGATGATAACAATAAAAAAATTTAATGACAATAGTAACTAAAATAAAAATAAATTTACATCTTCGCCGCTCCAAACCCCAAAGATCGACTTCTTATAGGAAAAAATGAAAAGAAGAAGAAGAAGAAGAAGAAGAAGAAGAAATTAAAAAAAATATTTGAAGAAAAAATAATAAAAACAAGCGAATACAGAAACAAAAGGAAAAAAGGTTCAATCAAATAGACTCTAGCATAAAACATGTAAGCTCATGAGACCTAAGAAAAAGGAGTGCGAGAAATGAAGATAAACCTGTAGCCTTTGATACACTTGAATTGCGAGCTCATGCTAAATATTGAAGGCAAGTTATAACTGAATTAAATAGATTCAATTGGGTCTGAATTACAGACACATATATACAGGGGACAGAAGTCCAATTACTCAAGCATTTTAGACAATGTTACAATATTAAACCTGAATTCTGCAATAAAAAGGCCAATCACTCTTCCTTGTATATCAAAATCTATCATAAAATGTTGAACACTTTTCTATAGGTACACAATTTTGTTTTTGTTTTTTTTTTTTCCTTAAAGAGGACAGGTAGTTAGTTCTATATTCTTAATAATTATTATTCTAACCTGCAGATTGATATGGATTAATTGTACGTAGAGGAGGTGGAAAACGTATAAGTATTGATGCCAATGGTACTGATGGTAACCGTGACTATATGGTGGTGGTGCTCGTTAAATTGTATGACTTTGTGGTGAGAATAGATGCAACAATAGTGACGTTAGGTAGTGGTCATAACAGTGGTTACCAAGGCAGTGAATAACGTAAGATGAACTAAAACCTTAATTAAATGCCCCTGTATAAATAATTTATACGGACATTACAGAAGAATCAGTGACGAACTCCTACGAATATTCATACTAAACCCAAGTACAATTGTTAAAATCCCATTATCAACTATTTTAGAAAGTGCCTGATGGGAAGAAATGAAATAAAAAGTTGAATCATGAAAGAATGTAATGGAATAGTCTATTATTTTAAATACGGACATTTCAATAGAAGAATATGAAATAATCTAATATTTTAAAAAACAACATTTATGGGAATTATGCTGCAAAGAATGTAATGAAATCATGAAATTAGAAAAGTTGATCGTGACCTATCATTTTTTAAGATGAGATCATTGTCAACCGAGAAGGCACCATCAAAGCATCTCTGACTCAAATTTAAAAATCTTATACTATCGTGATCGTTGTCAAGGATTTATAATTCAATTTATTTAAATGCTGACCTCAAAAATGAAATAAAATTGCATTTTTGTGAATGAAGAAAAGTAAAACTATAAATTAACATTAATGAATACCAATAGCACATTTGAAGCTGCAGAAAAAGCCAGATACTTCAAAATAAATACTATTTAAAAAATATTTAGAAAAATTTATATACAACTCATAGAGATAATTTATGACTCACGATTTTATAAAGTTTATTAAAATAACTTATTTTTAACTTATAATAATAAATTTTACAATTAAATTTATGACACAAACACCTGTGTAAATTTTTAAAAATATGTATTTAATAAAATTGTGCACTCAAATATTTAAAAAAAATACTTAAAATGAAAGCAACAAAAGTGTAAACTACCGGTATTTTGCAGGTTTCTGAGGCCAAAATTCCGTGAATTCTCCAGACGGTGGGCAGAAGTGTCTTAATGTGTCCCTCCAAAATTGAATGCAATTTTTGTTGTTAATCTCACGACTTGTATAGAGCCTGCAGCTTCCATTTGGGTCCCGGCAACTTTCCCTTATCTTTTCTTCAGTAGGCATGCCATGGAATTCCTTGAAAATATTCAGTGTATCCTCCATTAACTCCTTTGGAACCCCATGATTGATAACCTACGTCACAGTTTTTCATATATATATATATATATATATATATATATATATATATATATATATATATTAACCAAACATACACATTTTTTTACTACAAATAAAGGGTGAACTTTAATTTAGTGCAATGATAATATAGTGCACAACTATTAGGTGGGACATTTGTGCATTCGGTTGCTCTTGTTTAATTATCAAATTTTTAACGCATGAAAATGAAACACTATCTGGGAGATTTTTAAAAGAAATAGTTGCATGCTATGTGGTGATTAATTTGAAACAAGCGAAATTAACTAGCCAAGGGAAAGAGAAATCTTGAGTAAGAATTAACCTGGAAAAATCCATACTCCTCGGAGGCTTTCAAAATGTGCATCAAGGTTTCGGCGCGATCATGTACTCCAAGATCCACCACCGGGATTGTCTTGCCGGAAGAAACAACAACCAAGCCAGGCCTACTTTCCGGTGGTTGCACGTAGGATAAGGGCACTGAGGAATGATGATGAAACCAGCTAGAAACAAGCTTGTGATCCATGTTCTTAATGCCTATAGCTAGGTTCCCCTGAATGTGTTTTCTATATTTTGTGTATGAGGCAAAGAAGGCGTAAAGAAGTTTGATTTCATATATTCCTTATGTGTTTGTTGTTTATATAAAGAGAAAAAGAAATATTAAAATTAGTCTGATCGGTGGAGATTTTGACTATAAAATTTTAAAGCATCACCTACTTAATAAATATATAAGGTGGGGTAGTCATACAATACACACACAATTGACTTATCAAATGAAGCCTACTAAAATATAACATTGCCACTTCATCGTCATCATCAACTTCGATAATTAGATAATTGCACAAAAAATATTTTAATCAATTCATTGAATTATAATTAGTTC